ACTAATTATTAGTCTAGATTCATCATTAACTCAGAGTCTACTTCATGATCTATCAAGTAAGGAACAACCAGGTAGGATCATATCGGAGGTAGGGTCCATTTGGTATATGAAGTATACTGTTTGGAAATCCCACTTTAAACACGTCACTAAATCACAACCTATACATCATCCCCGTAAGTAGATCAATCAGTATAACGACTTTGAATCACTGATAAATGTTCTTTATAGGTTCATAAAAATGATATTATATTTAAATATAAGCTATATTTAAATTAGGGTAGGCGTATCTCACTTACAACGGGTTTTGCTAAAAACCGGGTTCCGCTGGAGCAGAGCTTCTGAGCCGAAAAGCTCTTTTTCTCGGAGCCTTCGGGCGCTCCGGGGCTTTTCTATAGCACCTTGAGGTTACTAGGGATTTATAGGGGTTTTGGGAGTCTAGAGAGAAGTTAGAGAGAGAAAGAAAGGCTTATGGTGTGAAGAAAATATGAAGAATTCATCCTTTATTTATAGGGGTTTGATCATAGAGTAGGCCCTAAGTTTCGTCCGTATCTTCCGCGTACGAGATCTGTTTTTTACGTTCTTTATATCCACGCATTGGTATTTACGAGTACTACAACTTTCATTTAGACCTCGTCGTCTAATTCTCATTCTATCTCCGATTTACAAAACTGTATCGAATTTATCGCGTTCGAAGAGTAGAGACTAAGTTTCGTCCATATCTTTAACATAGGAGCTCTATTATCGATGTTCTTTATATCCACACATTGGTATTTACGATTAATACAACTTTCATTTAGACCTCGTCGGCTAATTCTCATTCTATCTCAGATTTACAAAACTGTATCGAATTTGCCGCGCTCGAAGAGTAGGGACTAAGTTTCGTCCATATCTTTCGCATACGAGCTCCGTTTTCGATTGTCTTTTTACCGTTGAAATCCTATTAACGATATCATCATTTCCCGTTTAGATTATTTTGGCTAAAAATCGACCAATCTAAAATTCAAATTCCGGGTTACACACTGCTTTGCCAAATTTTAGAAAATTCATAACTTCCCCATACGAAGTCAGATTTGGACGTTCTTTTTATGCAAGCTCTCGGTTTAACGTATACTACAACTTTCATTTAGGTCTCTAAGGCTAAAAAGCAGTTTATCAAAAATTTACTTTTTACGTTACGCGGTGCCGTGCCGGTTTAGCCGTAAAACTTCGACATGTCATAACTTATTCGTTATAACTCGGATTTCGGCGTTCTTTATATGTATGGAACCCTTGTGACATATACTATAACTTGGTTGATATTATTTATTATAAATAATCTTCCATCAAAAAGTCATTTTTGATGCTCATTGTCTCTAAATTGACTAGACCGAATCTGAGGATGTTACACATGAGAAATGAGATTAGAATCATATGCATTAGATTCATTCTATTATTTTGAAATATATATGTTAATATGTTTTCCTAAGTCCATGATATTTACTTTGAACATGCTATAAGGTTATCGAGATGTTATGTTGATTTTGAAACTATTTTGGAGGTTCAACTTGATCGTGGATGATTGTAATCTTCCTTTATGTTCGAAGAGTTGACCTCGGGTATACACACAAGGAATTCCTATGCCTTAAACTATATTTTGATGTGTTGCTCAGGTTAGAGACGAAGGAGTATTGGATATTTAGAAGATGATATTAAATGTAGTATCATACTTTTACTTTTGTTTTGAGATACTTTTACTTTTGCTTTGAGATTGATTGTAATATCCTCACCATATTTGGAACTAAACTTGAGATGGGACCAAATGTTTATCCGCACAAGTTTTAAAACATAAACTTTGATTTTGGGATAAAAACCCGATTTTAAAACCATTTTAAAATCATCCTATGCGAGAGATGTTTCAAGAAATGAGATAGATACCAAATTTTGGTATCTAACTCAAATAACAAATACAACTCAGATAATAAAATAAAATATATTAAAATTGCCTTGATGAAAATTGATTTACCTTGAATTTATGTAGTACTTTGTGCTTCTTAAGCGCTTCTTGTAGGGATGCATCAATATGTGAAATCCTAAAAAGAAAGACAGGGGAAATGAAGAGAGAAAAAGGGAAAAGACGAAAATATATTCATATGTATGACACATAAAAGGTCTTAACGGTTCCACATTAACGACGGTTAGGTTAAGAAACCAAACTTGCTTAATTGGTTTGAATTAGAGATTAAGTCTACAACATTGGCTATAGTTAGACCAATGATGTTTTTGAACACCAAACATAAGATACCAAACATGTATTAGATATAATAAAAAACATTTGGTTTATGAATAATATAGTTCGAGTTTTAAAATTTGGTCACAATTCTTTCATACGTTGACATGTTTGGTTCCTACATAGAAAATATTACAAAACTATTCCTATAATTTATAAAAAAGGTTCGTGTGCATTTTTTTTGTCTATATGTTTAAATAATATACTCTTTTGAGTTTAGGATTTTTCCACAAAACTTTCTTATATTGGCAGGTTTGGTCTCTTTGTAGAAAATAAATTACAAAATTATTATTGTAATTTACAAAAAAGGTCCATATGTAAATTATTTACAGTAACCAGTCCACATGTTTATAAAATTAAAAAAATGGTTCTTGTGTAATAAAAAATTTACATATTACACCCCGTAAAACGGATATTAGAACTTATAAGTTTGACAAAAGATAATTAAAAATTAAAAATGCTTCCCTATAAAAGGAGGAGAAAGAAATTTCTAGTTTGCTCTAAAAATTATTGACTTTGTTTTTCAAAGTCAAAGAATAGTCAAAAGACTTTAATGCCAATAAAATAGTTAAAACACTTTAATGCCAACAGAGTATTTTCAAGAATTAATAGTTTGTTGATATGAAAACAAACTATTTATTTTTTTCACACTGAAATGATTAATAGTCAGTAAATGATTTTTGAGTTTTAAATGCATTGCTTTAAATTTTAAAGTAATAAATACATTTGTTGCACACTGAATTTCATTATTATATTGAATATAATAGCGCTATGATATCAACACTTAAAAAAACTGAACATTTAAAAAAAAGTCAAATTACTTAAAAACTACTGCCTCCGTTCTAAAATTATTGTCCACAGATAAAAAAAAAACATACAGATTAAGAAAACATTAATTATCACTAACTTTATATAATAAAATGATAGTTTTGTCATTACTTTGCATAATGTTCCATTAAATGTTTACTTTGTTAAGTAATAATGAAAGAGTATTTTAGTAAAAATGTTATTTTTTTTAGAAGTGAAGTATTATTTTGGGACAAACTAAAAAGGAAAGATGAACTATCATTTTGGGACAGAAGGAGTATAATATTTTGTTAATTTTGTGGTTTAACAATTTATATTTTTTTTGTTCTCATAAAATCATTAATTTTCGATTTTTTTTTGCACTGCGACAACCTATTGTCGGTTCGACTAGAATTACTATGATAATGTGTTATTTTTTCTTAAAAATGATTAATTTGTTCTCATAATAACCATTTTTTTTATAATCTAGCGACTATGACGAATAACGACGTACTTTTATGTATTTTTCCAGTTTATATGATATTTTTTTAGAATTTAAGATAATGTGTGTAATTTTTAGATAATTTGACATTGACATATATTTAATTTCTTCCATTTTTCCATTAAAATGAATTACATATTGAAAACTCTCAAGCTTCATAGCTTCAAAAACAAAAAAGAAAATAATAAATAATAATAATAATAAAATTTCAAACTAATAACAAGCACAATATGAGTTCATTTATAAATAAATGAATATGTTTAAAGCTAAGTTAAAAGCTTTACTAAAGAGTCTTTAATCTAGCTGTAAGGAGCGACTCTCTCAAATGAGAGGTCATGAGTTCAAATCTCTTAGGACACGTAAATGATATTTAGGAATAAGTTAGCTAGTTTGCGGTTTCAGAAAAAAAACTTTACAAAAAAATAAATATTTAGAGATTTAAATTAAAACATCATCACCACTTTCATTTAACTTATACAAATAAATAATTAAAATGGAATACACAAGATGAATTATATATTATTATGGAAATTTTTTATATAAGCGATTAAAACTTTTTTATATACTTTTTATTTATTTATTACCTGATTATAATTATAATTTTGAAATGAATACTAATACATTTAATATATGAAAAATATCCACATCAAGGTTCACAATCATTATAAAAAATACAATTAACTATAGTATTGTTTCTCTTTAATTCGATGGGTGATATGTTGGTTTGGATGGGTGCTAGGCATAATGCTAGAACAATGTTTTTGGTGGTTATTTGAGTGCTTTTGACTTACCGGAATGCATATCTTTTCCGTAATCCTAAGCCTAAAATACTAATTTGTTATTTGATTCTATTGTTGAAACTTCTTTTTATTGGTTTTCTTATCACAACTCTAAGGGTAGGATAAATTGGATTGTGTGGTTACAAAATCCAATCCTGCCTTGACATGCTTTGTATTCTTGCTTCTTGCAGATTTTGGTTTCGGGTTTTTTAATATATATTTTGCTGTTGTTCAAAAAAATTATAGTATTGTTTCATACATATCAATAATTAACAATTAACTAAAATAATTTAGAAGTAGATTAAATTACCATTTAAAAATAATAATAACAACTAATAAAACACAAAAATTAAATATCCTCCTACCTTTTGTTCATACTTTTTTTTTCTACCTATTTAAGATAATAACAAATGTATAAATTTAACATCTCAATCAAATTTAAATTAAATTGAATGACACTTGTCACTATCTAAAATAAGTAGGAAGATAATAGACATAAAAAATAAAAAGATATTTAATTTCTCATAAATTATTATAATGTTCATGAAACTAAATAAATATGTTTTAAATTTTACTATGATGTCAACTGAAGTTTATTAGTCTAGGTCAACGTTTGGTTTTAATGACCATTTAATTAACATTTTAATAACAAAATCCAAAATTCCAAATGGTGAGATACGGTAAATCCGAAAGGTAGAGGGTAGTAAAGTGCAGTATTTCTAAAATTCAATTTCTCGCGGGTAAAATTCGCTTGTGCTTGAAGCGTGACGTGTCGTCATCTGAGGAAGACGTGTTTAGCTTTTAGACATCCACCGACCCGACCCGACCCGTTTATCAGGACAACGATTTGGATCTTACCCTGTATGTATACCCCCCTTTCTATTTCTTCATAAACCCTAGACAGGGTTAAGAAATCTGAACTCTCCTGTTTGATCATCATTTTTTCGCTCTAGGCTTTCGATCATTCGACAATCGCTGCAGCTCAGGTTGATTTTCTATTATTATTATTTTTTTTATTTCAAGTCGAATTTGCAGTCCTCATTGTGATCAAGCATTTGATGTTCATGATTTTTTGTCAGTCTTCTAATTTCTACTTCATTTTGTGATGAATTTGTTTGTTCAACTTGTGTGCTTAGGGTTTGATTGAATTTTACTTTTTTTTTTTTTGCTCCGAAATGTCTCATGGTTGTAAATGTTTGATCATAAAGTTCTCATTTTTTTCGTTAGAAAGTTCACACGCTTAATATATACATTTGCTCGCTTTGGATTCTCAATTCTATATTCTTACTTAAAGCAAGTGTTTTCTTTGGGGGTAGGGAGACGTTGAGGCATGTTGGGACTTGCAATTTTTTTTGATTTAAGTGATTATCTATCCACAAGTTTGTGCCTTTTATTGTTACCATTGTTCTATGAATAAGAAATGATGAATTTTGAGTAGAAATGTGTTACTGCTTCCGATTTGTGATTTTTAATATGGTTCCTTAACGTATTGATTTTTTAAGCACCTTGGATCCTCTACGCCGATCTCATACCTAAAAATAGGGGGTTGTTTATGTGTGGATAATTCGTTGAAGCATATTAGAAAAATGTTCGATTCAGGATTTTTAATGAAAACTTGAAGTTTTTAGCTGTTTCACAGTTTCTTGTCGTTTTTTTTTTCTCAATTCTATGAATCTTAAATTAAGACAAGAGAAGTATGAATAACCATGAACTATCTATGCATGGCTACAGGTTCGTTTTCCTTCTTCTGCTTATTTGTTGTGTAAATTTTATGATTCACAATTTGTAGGACCAAGTATGATCAGCAAGTTCTTTTTTTTAACCTTCTCTGTTTAGTTTTCTGGTATAGTAGGATCAAGTATGATGAAAGAGTTATTTCCTTTTTAACCTTCTTTGTTTTAGTTTCCTGTTAAGTTATATGTTCTAGATTTACATCCAGTTCTCTGATTCTTGAAATGGAAGTTGTTGATTTACATCCATTTTTTTATATGCTTATCCGTTTCAGGGGCTCGTGGGGCTCCTGTACACCATCAGACCATGAACACACAAGGGCAAACAGTTATGTATGCCAGGGGTGGTAGGCGAAGGAAGGTACTTGATGTGGACCTCAATGACACTCCACCAAATGAAGACCATGAGCAAGTGGAAGGTCCACTTCTTTCTTTGACTCATGGTGGTCAACTACAAGCTGTTGACCATAACCAGTTGCCAGTTATTGCATTGACTCCAGGATCTTCACCACCTGTTCCAATCGATGTTGAGGAGCTGGATGATGATGTTATCATTTCATCACCAAGAGCTTTTGAACAAGTACATTCTGTGCTTAGTTATACACTAAAAAACATTACCTTTTTATAAAATATCCAGATTATTAGCCTGCATTTGTCTTCTTTCAGGCTAGAAACAGTTCTCGAAGAATTGCAAGAAGAACTTCGGTGATTGATGTGGAATCAGGTAAACAAACACTAGTGTGAATAATCAAATTAGGGTTTTGTTATAAATAACTTTGAAATAGATTTCTAACCATCTTGGCTAGGCATAATGAATACTTACAAACACACCAATCCATACATGGTGTATATATATATATATATATATATATATATATATATATATATATATATATATATATATATATATAGTCGTTCATTTAAAAAAAAAAAAAAAAAACAATACTGTTTATTTATATTTGAGCGCGTGTGCAGTATTGTGAAAAATTTCTTATGTAATATGTAAAATGGCAGAGGAAGTTGGTAACCACCGCAACCAAAGAAGAAGAGTTCAACCAGAGCCACAAGTCCTGAGTGGCGGCCTGTATGTGATTTGGGAAGGAAGTAGCAGTTCCATGGTAATACCAATACCAAATTACCATACTACCCCTGGTGTATTTTTGGGGAAGCAATGACAATGAATGTGTTGATTGAGATTGGTTGGTTTTGTAATTGCAGGAGGAGAGAGCATCACTACCATCGCTGCCGCCGCCGCCTGAGCCGACTTTCAACTGTCCGGTTTGCATGGGACCATTAGTTGAGGAGGTGACTACAAAATGTGGTCATATATTCTGTAAAGGCTGCATAAAAGCTGCAATTGCTGCTCAGGCAAAATGTCCAACTTGTAGGCGCAAAGTCACCAATAGGGAACTCATCAGGATCTACCTTCCTTCCACCTCTTAAGTCTTAACCTCAGGTGTCTATACAATAAATACACTATACTCTATACCCACAACTTTTCTATACTCATTCTTATATCTATGGTTTATATATAAACAATGTTTGTGTTTGTGTTTATGTCATGACAGGTCATCGTGTGCTTTGTTGTGGGATTGCAGGTAGTGAAGTTTATGAGACCAGAATTTCAAGTAGGATTTTTATACATTTTTTTTTTTTTTTTGTCTAGAGATGGACGGGGAAGTATACTTGAAGGAGCATAGGTTTTGTTTTGCACCCGGGGTTCCTTGTGGTGTTGAACATCTCTCTTTTTAGTGTTTTCCTTTTGTTCTGTGCAGCTTAAGCATATTTAATTAGAGCGTTTTCCTAACAGATAAATATCAAATGTTGTATTTGGATTTTAAACTCAAATGGTTCCCCTTCATATCTAATTTTACTAGATGTGTAACAGGTTTCTATGGCACTTTTATATAATCTGTCCATTGCCGACATATAATAGACAAAAAAACAAACTGCTCAAAGACCGGCCTTATCAAAGAATCATTAAGATCATATTTAAAATTATTTATTTCCTTTTATTGAAATATAGATATACAGGGTATAGAGTCCCCTCCACCTCGCCTTTTCCATGTCTGCCATCTCCTTGTCCTTTAGAACCTGAACCTCCACCACCACCACCACCTCCTCCTGAACCACTACCATAACCATGCCCATATCCTCCACCATATTTTCCGTCTTCATGTCCTTCTGTCACAACTCCCCCTTTTTGGTCTTTAACGGCTACCCTGATGTGCTCATCGTGGACTTCTTTCTTTTCCAGAAGTTCTCTTGTACCTTGTGTTGTAGTTGTTGTACTCTGGAACACAATTAAAAAGATTGCTACAATTAGAAGAAAAGATTTATGAACGCTCTCCATTTGTGTGCATGCATGGACTAACCAATGTGGCGACTTCATTTATATACTCTACCAGATGAGTGAACAAATCCCCACTTCTTTAAACCAATTAAATTTACACATCTCTTGAGGGTAATTTATTTACTTTGATTAGAAATAATTCAAGTATTTATTAATTTTTTTTAACAACACGAATCTCATAAGTTCAGTTTGGGGAAGAAAGATGTTTGTATTGTATAACAATCAATGAAATTCAGAAATTTGTGTTGTGTATATTTAATCTTAAGCATTTATAAGTACGAAGACATTCCTCACCAACCAGGGCCGTTCCAAACATATTTTGGGCCCAGGACGAAAGACAAAAATAGGCCCTTAAAATACATAAAAGTCATCAATTTTTTTATGATAAATCAATAATTGAAAGAAATTACTTATACTATCTTCTAAATATAACAATTTCCATAAAAAATTTGGGCCCCTTTAAAAGATGGGTCCTGGACGGTCGCCCTTATCGCCCACCCTATGGGACGGGCCTGTCACCAACTTGCTGTGTATGCTAAGAATTGTTAAGCACAAGAAAGAGCTTATGTTCAATTCTGTAACGTCCTAAATTTCAAATCCAAATTTTCTTTTCAACGGTTTTAATAAAGAACCATTTTCAAAAAAATGAAGTACCTATAGTTCTAAAATTCTAAAAACATGTCACATGAAAATTATTGCATCAAAACATGAGAAGTACCAGAAGTCTAAGGTGTTGTTTGTTTTTTGTCTGCAGATCTTCTTGGACTCTTCTGTCTGCGCCGCGCAGACCACGTGCAAACATTAGGCTTTGCAAACTGATTGTTTTTTTTGAAGACTGCAAACCTAAAAAGGTTTGTGTGTCCATTTCTTGGCGCAGACGTGAACTAGAGTCTTCAAACCTCTTCAAATATTTTTTCTAGCCCCAAAAAAACACATATATCATATCATACTATATTATAAATGAAACATTTTTCCTATCACCACATTCATTTGAAACTCTCATGACTTTTCAATTTCTTTCTAATAATAATTATAAGTTGGTTAATAAGATTAAATAAATATCAAATCTAAAGTATAATCATATATAAACTAAATTTCAATATTAAAATAATATCTTTACTTCTACTTATAAAGTTATGTTTTTTAACTTTTAACATATTATACTTAATTTATTAGTTTTAATATATTGTATTATTGTTGGATGCAAACCATTATCATTTTAAAGATACAATTTTGGAACAATTTGTATAAAATATTTAAATTATTAATTTGAATATAGCATTACTGGGTCAACTTAAATATAAATTTTAGTTTAAGTTAAACAAGCCAAAAAATATTTTGTAAATAGTTAAAAGTGATTAATTGTAGTGTCTTTCTAATAATGATTATAAGTTGATCAGTAAGGTTAAATAAATATCAAACCTAAAGTGTAATCATAAATATACTAAATTTCAATTTTAAAATAATATATTTACTTCTACTTATAAAGTTATGTCTTTAACTTTTAACATATTATACTTAATTTATTAGATTTAATATGTTGTTGTATGTAAACCATTATCAGTTTAAAGTTACAACTTTTGAACAGTTTGGACAAAATACTTAAAGTGTTAATTTAAATATAACATTACAATGTCAACTTAAATATAAATTTCAGTTCCACTTAAAAAGCCAAAGAATATTTTGTAAATAGTTAAAAGTGATAAATTGTAGTGATAAATGTAAAAACTAAATTGTAATCTCAATTTAACTAAAATATTTCCTAAAAATATTTTTATAATCGTTAAAATTTTCAAATAAGTAGCTTAAAATAACTTATAATAACAATAGTTAAAAATAACTCTATATAAATTATTATATTGCTACCTTTAAAATCAAAAAACAATGTTTGATGTTTTTAATAATTATAATGATAGAAATTAAAACATTAAGCAAATAAATTTTAAAAAATTAATTAACAATAACAACAACCATAAATAACATTAAACCATATATTATATTTAATTTTATTCATGTATACCTCGCGGATAGAAGTCATTCAAACGATTGAGATTATGCAGTTATAATAAAATGTATATATTATCATATAATTCAAAATAACCAATATATTATATCAATTTAGTATACAAATTATTATATCAAATTTAACAACGTTATTGCTCTATTTAAAAAAACATATATTTGTAAAGACTTCAACTATATAGGTGTTTCTACGCAACGCGTGGACATTCGCCTAGTCTTTGTAATAAAGTTAACACATATATCTTTGTAAGAAAGTTAATACATCTTATTCCAACTTTATCTATTATAAACAATTTTTAATAAAAAAAGTTACAATACTTAAAGAAAAAATGTTTGACGACACAATCATGACCTTTGTAACAAATTTATAAATAAAAATTTAATTACAATAATGGTCATTGGAGCTGTTTATATAAATATGAAAAAAAATCATAATATTGTCTTATATTTTTTGTGACAAATTTTATAAAACATTATTTAATGTAATATCATTCATTTCTTGGGAAAAAATATTTATGCTCAGTTTTTAATTGATTTAATTGAAAAAGTAAAATGAAAACTTTGAAACTTTTCATTTAAAATCAAAGCTTATTTCCATCCATTTTATGTGTTAAATTCTTTTATCCCTAATTACAATGTTTAGGTATAACTTTGCGACTAAAGTTTGTTGTTTTTAATCAAATATATACGTTAATTCGTACCATTTTATTTTCACTTATAACGTCCCAAACTCATAGAAAAATTTTCATTTTTAAATAGGAAAACATTATATATATATATATATATATATATATATATATATATATATATATATATATATATATATATATATAGTGTGTGTGTGTGTTTAACGTAGCCGAGAATTTGGGCAGAGTAACACTAGGTACTAAACTTATCCAAAGGTGGCTCTAATAACGAGTTTCAGCGTTTCCTGACAACTGGCCAGCGTGACAACTAGGTATGATCTTATCTATCATAGTGGTTCAACATAACAACTAGACATAATATTAGCTAAAGAGTTTGAGCATAGTTACTACCGAGCATAATATTATCCTAATGCTATGGGCATAATTATCTAACTATAATTAGCGATAACTATGTAAAGTTGTATTTTAGACATGTATTCCCCCCTAAAAAGAGTTGAAAATGGGGCCTTGAACTCACCTGTGAGTTTGAAAAAGTTGGTGTAGGGTAGAAACCACAAGTTAGCACTTCGATAGGCGATCGGGGCGATAGCAAACAAGGCGTTTTTAGAGAGAGAATCGAGAATGGGAGAGAAAAATGAACCGTCGAGACCTGCTATTTATAGCAGATTTGGAGTGTGCGCCGTGCAAACCGTATGATCGTGCCACATGTCCTCGTCTCAGTGTGCCATGTCATCTCGTATATCGACGCTAGCGGGTGTCAGTGCGTGCGGTGCACTGCTTGCAAGCGTGCGTGACGGTAAAAATTCAACTTTGAAATTCCGTAACTCTCGTATACGAACTCCGTTCTCAACGACTCTTATATATTCGTGTAGGTATCGTCATTCTCTACAACTTCATTTTGGTCGTTTTGTCTAGTTTTGACTTTCATTTTTCGACGTGTTTTTATTACCGTTATAATCTTATAAAAATCATAAATCTCAAACGTGATGTCCGTTTTAGGTGTTCCTTGCCTCATAATTGTAGTGGTGTTAATCATGACGACGAATGCGGAATATGAAATGATTTAGTGAATCATACAAGAATCATGAACACGAAGAACACAATAGTAAATAAATCTGGGTTTAGCTCTCATTAGTTCAAGTGAGTATTATAAAGTGGGTCTTGTAATATTTCTCTCACTAGACTAATCTCTCACAAGTTCTTACATAAAATGAGTGTCACTCACTTCCTTATAAAGGAAAGACAACTCATTACACACACACACACACAAAAGAGTAAGCACACTAGAAGCATCCAAGTGTGACTTTGCACCCTAACATTCTCCCCCTCAAAGTTAGGATTGGATGTCCCGACTTCTTTATCCAACGAGCTCCAAGCGATAAGACCCAACTCCCCGTTGAATTGACTTCGGTCTTCAAACGTCGCTTTGAAATGAAGTAACTCGAATAGCCATTTCATATTTCTCTCCCTTTTTATAATCAACAAATAATTATAAAACAAAAAGGGTATGAGAAACGCCAGATGAATGCACCATGAGAAACGCCCTCTCGATGTATGTAAAAAAAAACATACCGCGAAAATCTTGCACGAAAAACAATCACGAAAAAGTCATGAAAAATTTCCAAATTTGTGAAAATTTTCGATTTTTGGGTGAGAGTTGCAAGAATTTCGAAAATCCAGGTAAAAATTGCCAATATCAGAATTCTGTAGAGACCCGTTGCGCCAAAACAACCTAAGATGCGAAACTTTACCCCAATTGAGAAACTGGGCATAAATTGTTAATTCGCATTAACTACAGGGACATGTTTCAAAAGTATTCCATTTTTTCAGAATTTTTAGCCCAATTTCGAAACTGGGTAAATTCTGCCAATACTTCGAAACTTCAGGGATTCGAAATTAAAATCCTGCATTCTTCACAGATTTTGTTCCCATTACGAATTTGGGTGAAAATTGCCAAGTTGCTGAAAGATGAGGGATTCAAATCGAAATTGTCATGTTTATCTTCCCCAATTCGATACCAGGAAGCGAACAGTCGACTCCATCATTCGACTCCAATACACAATCGACATCTTTAATTTGATGCCCTATAAGAGACCCTCGACCTCGATGCCATGTAAGGACCCTCGACATCGATATCATGTACGGACCCTCGACATCGATGTTCAATTGACCCATTTCGAACCTTCAAGATCAAACCTTCGATTCAACATCCCAATTCCAATTCTTTGAAATCAAGCGTTCCAAGCCGAGACTCCCATTTCGAACCGTCAAAATTGAACCTTCCAAGTCGAGACTCCCATTTTGAAGCTCGATACTCGACTCTTACTTGTC